ATATATATATATATATATTTAAGTGTCATAAAGAACTTGAATTAGATAATACTAGGCACTTTGGATTTCTCTCATCGAGCCGCTAGATTTGATTAAGAACATGCCAAATTTTGAGATCATTTGAGCTTCCAATTAATGCATCAATGTCCTTTGCTACATTTCAATTGTTTGATCCTGGCTCATTTTAGCTCGAATTAGACCACTTTCAGTGTTGTTGAGTTTGTGTTGTGGAGAGATCAGTTTAACTATGAATTTATCGAGGATGAGGATAAGATGATCTTAATTTTCAATTCAAAATATTTTTTGCTTGAAATGCATTGAGATTTGTGCTTGATGTGAAATATTTTTTTTGATTACACATCAAAGTTGAAAATTGAATTCACAATTAATAGTTTTTTTTTCCCTCACGTAACATAATATTAGCCACTTTTGCATAAGTTATTGTTAGATTTATACAAGGTTTTGAAATTTGAATCTGGCATCAAACTAGAAAAAAAATATATTTAAGATTCATTGATTTGACCTAAGTTGAACTAGATGATATAAAATTAATTAATATAAAATTAATTAATAATAATTTAAATAATATAATAATATAAATATGAATAAATAAATAAATAAATAGAATTTTTTTAAGTGGTCCTATTCATAAAAAAAATGTTTTTTTTTCATAGGGCAGCTCTTTTATTCCCCACAAAAAAAGGAATAATAAAAATAATAATAATATCCCTATAAGTCTTTCAATTCCATCTCCAGTAGACTTATATGTGTATGAAAAGTATAATGTTGTTGAAAACCAAACAAAATGATTCGAAAAATGTATGAAAACTCACACATTTTGTGAAACATAAAAATGTCAAAACTAAAATGTTAGACTTGTCACTCCTTTTAAATTGTGAAACCCAACAAGTTTGAAGATGCTCTCTGATTTATGGGTTGAATCGTCGGTTCGACCGGTTCTGAGCGATTCATAGTCAGAAACGGTTTCTAATGTGATTCAGACAGGACTAACCACCAGTTCACGATCAAATTGACCGGTCCGATCGGTTTTTCTAAATCTTAGATTTACATATATATATATAACAACAAAAACAACAAGCATTTATCCTACTATATATATATATATATATATAACGACCAAATCATCCGACGATTGTTTCTATATATATATAACGACCAAATAAATAAATAAATAAATAAATAAATATATATATATAATGCTTAGGCACATATTTCTTATCTAAACTTCAATTTTAAAATTTATTACATTTTACCCAGTCGATATTACGCCTTGAGAGGAGCCGAAAACGGATAAAACAGGGACGTGATTGTTAGGGTTTTTTCCACTGTTCTCTCCGTTACTTCTGTCAATTTCCCGGAGCTTGAGACGATGGAGGAATTCGAAGGAGCAAATGAAGGAGCAATGGAGAGATTCCTCGGCACGATCCTGCCTCCAAAGCTGGAAGATGCTGGCCTCGAGGACTGTGCACTTTCGATCGAATCGATCAAGGAAGCCTTCTCCCGAGCTGCCTCCTCCCTCAAATCTCGCGTCTCCTTCGATCGCGAAAGCGGTGGATGCGTTCAGAATCCCGGACCAAGCAACGGTGAGATCCCGGACAAACTTCTTGGAGTCGGCGAGATCTGCCCGCCGGTACGGCCTTTGTGTGGTGACGAGGGTAAGGAGGAAGAAAGCGAAGGAGCTAAGGATGATTTGGTCGTTATTGGTGCGGGAGGCGGGGACCTAGAGACTGATAGGGTGGTGGTTGTGGGGGGAGATGGAGATGAGGTAGAAGGGATGGAATCGGGTTTTGGTGGTAAGAGTGGCTGCACTGTTGATGGAGAATTGTTTCCTGGAAAGAAGGATGGCTATGAAATTGACGGGGATTTGGATGAAGATGAGGAAAATAAGAACGGACCTATACTTGTTGAAGAGCTAATCTGATTGTGAGTTCATTATAGTGTTCACTGCCCCTTTTAGGGTTATGTTAATCTTGCTACTGTTTTCTATCCCTGTTTATAAATCTCTTAGAACGTTTTTTTTTTCTTTAATGTTATTGCAATCAGCATCAGCCAATCTTCCTAGTTATTAAAATTTGCAAATAAATTTGCAGACTCACGAGAGCGCAAACTTTGATTAATAACACTTGATAGTAGTGTTTAGGAAAATGAGATGAAAGCATTTTTTCTTCTTTCTTTAGGAAAGTTTAATTACATCTTAGTTAAGTTAACTGCGGCATAGCTGAGAAATGATTATATTGATGTGATGAAGCATCTGAGTTGTGCCTAACGAACTCTTAGAGATGATCCAAAGAAATGGTGTGAGATGGGCTGGATTATGAAAGTCACAAATCCATGTACATTTGTTTAAAGTTTAATCTCTCATCCTTTGTTCAAGAAGGGTTTGATTCTGTTTTAGATGCAATATCTTGTCAATGTTCCTTTTGATCTGTATCAAGAACCAATCAGGAAAATCTCGCAAGATGAATGAAGCCCTGGAAATGGGGTTAGCTCTTACGACCTTTAACTAATTATTTTAATTTTTCTCAGTACTTCTCTGTTGCATAATTTCTTCTCTTTTATTATTTGATTGGTGGTTGTCGATGCGTATACTCTTTTTTATTTGATAGTTATTTTGCCTAATCTTGTTGTGTTCTTGATGTTGTTATATATGAACTACATACGATCATGTTATTCCTCTCACCGGTTAGATTGTTTGTGCAACTTGTGATAATTTCATGAGGTTGTTAGCCATTACGATAATGTCGATCACCTTGTTCCTTAGAAGTTTGCTCAAAATTATGTGAGCTACTATGGAATTGTGAAGTTTGTGACAGAAAGTTAGGTTTTTATGATGTTAGAAATGATGATTATCTCATAGGAGTGTCCTGATGTCTTCAAAACTATCGCTAAGTCACAGGACAAAGAGTGTGTCTCTCACGATCTCAAATGGGTAACGACTCATCAACAAACAGAGCCTATGAAATAATTGAGTCGTTTTGTAGGGTTCTCATTATGCTTTCAGGCCTAACTTGCCCATAAGGGTAAAGGGTGAATCACCGTATCTCAAACAGGCGACGACTTGTCCGCAATCGAGGTCTATGAGACGACACGGCGAAGCATCAAAAGGAGTGACAGAGCTCAAATGGATAAACAAAGCAATGGTAGAGCAGTCATAATCATATAGAGATATCCGGGTCAGGATATCACTGATTCATCATCCCAAGCTATTATGACCCAAACTTTATATGGTCGTGAAAGTAGTTGGCCAAACACAACCAATATCTTTTATCAGCAATCCGTGAATTGCGTTGTTTAAGGGGAGAAGGAAACTCTAAATTCTATGACTCTCTTTAGGTGGGAAGAGTAGATGTGAGATTTATACCTACCAAAGTGGCAAAGAAATCTCTTGAAAGAAAGAGGGAGGTACAACTGCGTCTCATCCTTTGTTCAAGAAGGGTTTGATTCTGTTTTAGATGCAATATCTTGTCAATGTTCCTTTTGATCTGTATCAAGAACCAATCAGGAAAATCTCGCAAGATGAATGAAGCCCTGGAAATGGGGTTAGCTCTTACGACCTTTAACTAATTATTTTAATTTTTCTCAGTACTTCTCTGTTGCATAATTTCTTCTCTTTTATTATTTGATTGGTGGTTGTCGATGCGTATACTCTTTTTTATTTGATAGTTATTTTGCCTAATCTTGTTGTGTTCTTGATGTTGTTATATATGAACTACATACGATCATGTTATTCCTCTCACCGGTTAGATTGTTTGTGCAACTTGTGATAATTTCATGAGGTTGTTAGCCATTACGATAATGTCGATCACCTTGTTCCTTAGAAGTTTGCTCAAAATTATGTGAGCTACTATGGAATTGTGAAGTTTGTGACAGAAAGTTAGGTTTTTATGATGTTAGAAATGATGATTATCTCATTGGAGTGTCCCGATGTCTTCAAAACTCTCGCTAAGTCACAGGGCAAAGAGTGTGTCTCTCACGATCTCAAATGGGTAACGACTCATCAACAAACAGAGCCTATGAAATAATTGAGTCGTTTTGTAGGGTTCTCATTATGCTTTCAGGCCTAACCTGCCCATAAGGGTAAAGGGTGAATCACCGTATCTCAAACGGGCGACGACCTGTCCGCAATCGAGGTCTATGAGACGACACGACGAAGCATCAAAAGGAGTGACAGAGCTCAAATGGATAAACAAAGGAATGGTAGAGCAGTCATAATCATATAGAGATATCCGGGTCAGGATATCACTGATTCATCATCCCAAGCTATTATGACCCAAACTTTATATGGTCGTGAAAGTAGTTGGCCAAACACAACCAATATCTTTTATCAGCAATCCGTGAATTGCGTTGTTTAAGGGGAGAAGGAAACTCTAAATTCTATGACTCTCTGTAGGTGGGAAGAGTAGATGTGAGATTTATATCTACCAAAGTGGCAAGGAAATCTCTTGAAAGAAAGAGGGAGGTACAACTGCGAAGCTGGAGATACTCCCACAATGAACTTATTCCCAGTCTAAGTCGGGAAGGCCTCAAATACCCTAAGTGTGTTAGACAACTACCTAAGTAGAACTCTATGTTGGGTCAGTCAGATTGAAGAAGCGTGGGGGCTTCTCATCGAGATATGCAAATGATGCAGTGAGCTAATTAGTCATAATATGGAGGCCCTATTAGTATGACTTGGGTGAGCCATGCAATGCAAAATGTTTAAAATTTGGTCTGAATACTATAACAAAAGTAAAAACATATTTTAAAAATTTTGAAATATTTTAATCCTAAATTTTAATTAATCTCAATTATTTATTAGATTTTTGTAGAAAATTTATAATTTTAGATCCCTAGAATGCCTAAATTATATTCGCAAGGAGCTCAGACAAGCCATAAGCAAGGAACAACTAACTGACAAGCACACCATGGAATGTAAAATAAAACAAGTCAAAGTATAATAGAATATAAAGATCGGGTGTCGTGGGATCGGTAACGTATCCCAGAAAAGCTAAAAGACGTCTAACTGACAAACAAAGGAACAACTAATTGACAAGCACACCGTGGAATGTAAAATAAAACAAGTCAAAGTATAATAGAATATAAATATCGAGTGTCGTGGGATCAGTAACGTATCACAGAAAAGCTAAAAAACGTCCAAGATCGCATATACATATCTAGTTTTAATGCTACATATCAATGAAAAATCATAATTAAGCTACGAGACACGAGCATGCAGCTCTTGGTCCTCGTCATGCGGTTCCTCCCATCAGGCGTCTCAGAACTCGTGTCCTTACCTTATTTCTAATGCAAGACTTAAGTCTATGGGGACTCTAAAAGGTATATAGTAAAATTAAAAAAAAAAAAAACTCGACCTGCAAAACATCGGGCTTAGTACAAGTTATAGGAATGCAATATAGTGAACCATATATGGTGGGAGGAGGGCTAAACTAGCGCCTGCAAAAACTGTGTTAGATAAAAATCATTACAGCTTCTCCTTGTTGGACATAGCTCTTTGTAAGTAGACCATCTTTAACATACTAGTGTGCATGTCTCACACTAGTAAACACGTAAAAAACAACACACAAAATGACGTCTGGTTAGGGCAACTAAATCAACAGAGAACTATAGCCTGGACACCGAAAAACCTACCTAGCATCTTAATCCTAGCCTAACACACCATCTAATGTATAGTGTTCTAGTCACAACATCTAAGTGTGTGTAGGGTGTAAGTAAAAGATTGACGAATGTTTTGATAAGGTCGTCATCACCAGCTCCATCCTAAGGATCAAAGGATTCTAAGTGGTGTCACTAGATGCAAATTTTTTATGAACAAAAACTTTAAAAAGTTTTTTATGTATGGTCTAAGTTAAAGATGCAAGTACTTTTTTATGAACAAAAAAAATTTTAAAAGGTTTTTTATGTATGGTCTAAGTTAAAGATGCAAGTAATTTTAAATAAGTTGAATTTTAAAATAAGTTGGACATAGCTCTTTGTAAGTAGACCATCTTTAACCTTCTTATACTATGAATTATGTTTTTGTGGTTATGACTTTGTGCTTGCATCATATATATATGTATTAAGAACCACCTAGACCAATAGATCGTCTTTTGTTGGATTAGACTTCAAACTTCAGATTTTGTTAAAATGCCGCCTATAAGTTGGGAAATTATAGGAGTCGAAATTATAATGATAATATTGAGCTTATAGGGTGTATATGATAATATTTAGCTTGTGGTAGAAATTATAGGAGTCAAATTTAATAGTCAAATGCTCACTTAGGGTTTGCTGATAAACAACTGGTTCAGATAAACTGATGATCAACAGTTGATTCAGATAAACTGGTTGATTGTTTGGTTTGTGCTGATAGAAAATTGCTGATTTGCAGCTGATTGTGGATAAATGATAAGTTTGCCCATGTGCAGTAATGTTGTTTGCAACAGAACTGTCATAACGATATATTTGATATTTGAGAAGCAAAAATAACTTCGGAACAATAGAAAAATAAGATACATATCTCACATAACAGTAAGTGTCGAGTGTATTAAAAAAAGAAAAAATAAGTATTAAAATTACACTTAAAAAATGATAATTTCAATTATAATATTTAGAAGACTTATGCCTCGAATTATGTTGTCCTCAAGGGATGTCATCTAACCCTGATCACTATCGACAGTGAAATATGTCGGTCTGTCTGCCCACCGGAATAAGTCACACTTCTCCGGGTCATCTGCCCATTGCTAACACCTGTAGAACTGTCTCTCGTAGTTATTTGTCCAACGAGATGTCAGTAGTGAAGTATGTAGTACACAGTGGCAGAGCAATCGCCGGGGGTTCCTTGAAATACCTGGAGCTCATCTTCTTTAAAAAATTCAAGAGAGAACCCATTAGTCATAACACAAGATGAAATTTAAAAAAAAATTTACGTGTAATTGAAAATAAGAA